ATATTTCGTTTCGTTTTTTTATACTTTCGATGGCCTACACTACATGAAGATCTGACAAGTTATAGCGATAGGTCACGTCAGGGGTCAAAAGACCGACTTTTGACCTATGATGTCAGACATTTGATTAACCAATCAGCATTGATGTTACTTGTGGATTACCCACAGTTCCGGGCAAAAAAGGTCAAACACTCGATTCGACAGACCATTTGATTGGCTGACCCCTCCTTTCAAGCAGAACACGAGTTAAATAACAAGTCTTCCAGATCCAAGTGTAGTAAAGACGAAATTTTGAACTATAAAAACGAAACGAAATAGGATCTGTGTTTTAACCAGATTGGTCTATACTCTTGACTGATTTCTAATCCAATTAACAAATAAAATAAAACAATTACCTGATACATAAATAATATGTTTATATAAAATCACAAGACAAGGTCGTTTAGCTCATTAAAAAAGTGGTTTCATTTTTAAATTTTATTTAGAATTTGGTATAAATATGCCATATCTAAGACAGATGACAATGACAAGGCTATATTTCTGTGCTTTTTTGGTAAGAATAAATTGAGAAAGCCAAGAGTGCACTGACAATAAACAATTTAATATGCCATCTTATATAAAATGTACAACTTTAGAGAGAGAGAGAGAGAGAGAGAGAGAGAGAGAGAGAGAGAGATTAACGTCCACTCGACACAACTAGGTCATGTCGGGACTAACATAGGTTGGACAGTGGGAGGAAACCGGAGGACCTAAAGAAAACCCACGAGGTTGGACAGGCGACCGTACTCCTTGTCACGTACAACCGGGGATTCGAAACCACGCCAGTCGACTCAATGACAGGTCTTATGATACAGCACGCACGTGCTAACCATTCGGCCATCCAACCCCCCGTACAACTTTAGAACATTGCCATGTGCATTATTGGTCATTATAAACCTGTAACGGTAAATTTCTTTGATCTTTGGGGTATATTCTATGCCCAGAATAACTCGAGGTCTGAAAGTCGAGGGCTGCTTTGAATATATACAGGGGAATTTGGGGTTATTCTTCTGAAAGTTTTTCTTTAAACCTGTAACAGGTTATTCTTCCAGGGTAGTTTTTTTTTCTCCATAAGAAAACATAATCTAAGGTTTTTCTTATAGGAATTCTGGGATATTCTCATTTTGCGCACATGTAAACATAGACGGTTTATAAGCAAGATAAAGTCCTCGACTTCGGTTATGCTGGGAAAGAAAATCTTCAAAAAAATCCCTCGACAGAAAAACCTAGGCAGGCCGGCCTCGGTTTTTCTTTTTCTAAGGTTATTTTCTTCAGTCTTTCTTTCCCCAGCATAACCTCATTCTCATGCTTTATCCTACACTTTAAACATACAAAATGAAGTGGGGTTTAACATCCTACTTTTCTGCTCTGACTGGGCTAATGAAGATGGGCATACGCCATACAGTGTGCTATGACTATGTGGGAAATTTTGCCCGGACAGCGGCGCTATGACCTACTCTTACTTCGAATTCCAATGGGCGTCATCGCTGAAGGAATTCCCACCAGGTGTCGCTAGTAAAAACTCAGTTCCACGTGACCTTATCAATGGTAAGAGAACCGTATCGGTATTAAATTCCATATTAACGACAAAAACTAACGTTTGTCAACACACGAGTTCGTAATGAATGTACAGAAAAACTGTGCTATAAGGTAAACAATGAGGTCACGTGGGACCGCCTCGCCTATAAATTATGTCCCTTTATCTCTAGCGAGGACACCCACTGTTCAAGGGATCTCTTTTCCATTCACGACAATGTGTCCATGGGAACTTGGTTTTTTGTCCCATCCGAACGACTACACTTAAACATACACTCTGTGTGTAGTATGTGTGACATGATATGATCATTAACCCTGATACATGTATGTCTGTAACTGAAAAGGTTTTTAAATTGTGTTACACATAAACGGTCCTGTATCAAATAATTTTAATCAGATTGGCTTTAAATTGATGTGTAAGCCACAGTGGCTAGGTGGGTAAGACACTGGCTCGCTAGCATGGAGGTCGGGTGTTCGATCCCTGCATTGGCCGAGAAAGTTCATCAGGATTTTTCGACGTGTTTTACCCTGGTCAGTACTGCAGGACGACGGGCCTGACAAGGACAGTTGTCTAGTCGTTCAGATGGACGAAAAATCGAGGCTACGTGTATACATTGGCGTGCACATAAAAGATCCCTTGGCAGGTGGAATTCAATATATCAGTAGGTCATAGTGCCACTGCCCGGGCAAAATTTCCCTCATAGCACATGGTATGGCGTATGCCCGTCTTCATTAGCCCAGTCGGAGCAGAAAAGTAGGACTTTGATAAATCTCATTTCATTTAAATTGTTGTAAAGTGCATATAATCCCACTGTTTTTACATACATACCACTTTTATGGCTTATTAAAAGTTGGGGGGTTGGATGGCTGAATGGTTAGCGTGCGCGCGCTGTATCATAAAGTCTGTCATTGAGTCGACTGGCATGGTTTCGAATCCCCGGTTGTACGTGGCAAGGAGTAGGGTCGCCTGTCCAACCTCGTGGGTTTTCTCTGGGTCCTCCGGTTTCCTCCCACTGCTAGAGACCCCTACGCTCAAGCGAATTATGTAAATAAAGTTAAACCATATGTTGGTCCCGAAATGACCTGGTTTGTGTCGAGTGGACGTTAAACCCCATTTCTCTCTCTCTCTCTCTTATTAAAAGTTTACATGCCCTGAAGAAACCTTCAAACTTCATCTGCCAACTCAATTTCTTCATATGAATGTTCTCGCTTCCTATTAGAAGAAGTCTCTCTTTGAATCCATCAAAAAATCCCATTTCTGTCAAGGGTTTTTTCTGAAGATTTTCTTCCCCAGCATAACCGAAGTCGAGGACTTTATCTTGCTTAAAAAACGTCTATGTTTACATGTACGCAAAATGAGAATATCCCAGAATTCCCATAAGAAAAACTTTAGATTATGTTTTCTTATGGAGAAAAAAAAAACTACCCTGGAAGAATAACCTGTTACAGGTTTAAAGAAAAACTTTCAGAAGAATAACCCCAAATTCCCCTGTGTATTTTCAAAAGCACAGCGTCTTACTCACTTAGCCACCAAGGCTCCTTATTTGTAATGACCAGAAAATTAAAACCATAGACTCAAATTGCCTAATATTAAATTAAACATACATTATGCAAGAGCAAAATCTGATTATTGCAAGTCTTAATTTAGGCTTCAGATGTTATAGAAATTATAAATTAGATCTTTATTTAAACAACAAGCCCAAAATCAACTCTGTAGACCCACGGATGGCTCGGCTACAGCTCGGATTTAAATAGGATTTCACTTATCAATTAATTCAAACATGGCGCATCCTGATGAGAATACGTCAGTTAGATCGAGGCTAAATGATAGAGTGTACTTAGCGAGGCCGCTGTAGAGCGTTTCCGCATGCCATTGAAAACTTTACTTGATAATCGAGATATGTAGGTGGAGTTAACGCTTGTCAATCAAACGATCAGCCACGGTGAAGGCACATTTCACTACCATTTCTAGTCAAATATTACAACAATGATAACTATGTTCAGAATAAAGTAATTTGACTGAAATTTTCAAAATATTCTTCTTTCATCATCTACTTTTGAACTGTTATAGCAAGAATGGCCAATTCTCTGTAAAAATCTCCCATAATGTATCTTTAATCTAATATGTTACCTTTAGTATAATTGAGTCATTTGTTAGACCCCATTAAGGTAATTTTTACATGAAAGTATATTAGGCCAAAAAAAAAAAGTTTGTTTCCTGTAACGATGGAAAAAAGGGTAGGGTCGGTAGGTAGATGGAATTCTTGGATAATTGTTTAAAATGTATCCGAGTCTAGATTATGATTTAAATATTCTATGCTAAAAAAAATAGCGTAGGGAGGCCATTTTGTTCAAGGGAAAGAACTCGCGATGAAAAACGCACGAAATAGGTCCGTAATAAAATTATTTGTCTTCTTTTAAATACCAATCGAGCAGATCGTATCCACCTGACTGAAATATACGTTAACATGTTTTTGTCGACTTGCGTGCCAGGACGGAGGGCATGGCAAGGACAGCTGTCTAGTCGTTCAGATGGGATGAAAAACCAAGGTCCTGTGTACACATTGGCGTGCACGTAAAAGATCCCTTGACAGTTGGAATTCGATATAAGAGTAGGCCATAGTGCCGCTGTCCGGGCAAAATTTCCCTCATACCACACTGTATGGCGTATGCCCAGTTCGGAGCAGAACAGTAGGACGTTAAACCCCATTTCATTTCATTTCATTTTCTACAAGTGGGAAATTAAAACCACTTTCTGCACTTTATAATTTCTCCAAAGCACTTTTTATAAAGACAGCATTATGTATATATTTCTGTTATAATAATAATAATTAATGTTATATATCAAAATGTTTTTATAACTCTAGTAAACCACATAATCCATCTTGAATTCTAGCACTTTACATCCTAAAATGACATTAATTTTAATTAATTGATACTAAAAATTTTACCTGTTCCTGGTATCAAACTATTTCTAGAAAAATGTTGCAATGTGTTGGTGTTTTTTATATATATAACATTTAATTTTGTTTTTAAAGTCAGAAATATCAACATTATTCCTCTCTCTCTCTCTCGACCAATGATAAACCAACAATTTTGCTTTTCCGGGTAAGTTTTATGAGTAAAAATAACATCTACAACTTTTTTTAAAAAAATGTTTTCCTTTCTGACTGACAAAACATTGACTAAATTTTGAATTAAATCTTGTTTAACGCCTGGACGACGGACGGAGGTGACGACAATATACGTACACATTTCTATGTGGGCGTATAAAACAACGGACAGAGGTGATGACAATATACAAACACATTTCTATGGTAGGCGTATAAAAAATAAGCCTTCGATAGTAACATAGGGAAATCGACTCTGAAGGCACTGTGGTCAACTTGGAGCTGTAAAGACTAACTAATAAAGAGGCTTTAACATACCTTTTTGTAATTTAACTGGACAGGTAAAATCATCTTCTATTAGTTCATTAGAATCATGTTGAGGTGTAGCGAGGGATAACTCTAATTCAACACTCTCTATCACATAAAGATTAGGTTCAGTTATAGGTTCATAAAACATACTATCACATGACAACTTGCTACTCTGTTCTGACTGGAAAAGTGAAAATAAAACTATTACATACAATATACAAGCAAAAGTTTTTTTAACAAAGTAAAAAGGTTTTATTTTAGCCAAGAGAAAATCTCTGGATGAGGTTTAGGAATAGTATGAATAAAAGGCTACCATGTGAGTCAAATCTGTCTGAAGAATTCAATATGAACGAAACTTTTTTACTATAATATAGCCCTTTATAAAACTTTTATTGTTTTATTGTATCAAATAAATCAATCAAAAAAAAATGGACAAAATTTAGTGTTTCTGGATGAAAAATATTTCTCATAAACAGTGATTGAAAGTTGAGTAAATTCTTAACTTAAGTCTGAGTATGCTTTATGAAACCGTGGCCAGAGTTTAATGTCCACTCACAAACAAATTTTGGGACTAACATATGGTTCAAATTTATTCTAATAATTCGCTTGCGTGTAGGGGTCTTTAGCAGTGGGAGGAAACTACAGGACCATGAGACAACCCACGAGGTTGGACAAGCGATCCTATTACTTGACACGTACAAGCTGGAACTCGTAACCATGCCAGACCTTGTGACCAACGCGCATGTGTTAACCATTTGACAAACTCCCCTCCTCGGTGACAGACCATGTGATCCAACGTGCAAGTGTTAACCATTCGACCACTCAGTGAGCAAGAAGCTGGCTCATTAACCATGAATCAAGAAAGTTCCTCAAGATTTTCAAGTCTCCTAACTTCTTGTAATAGATGCAAGATGGAGTGCCTGCCAAGGGAAAGCCTCTAGTCTTTCGGTTGCGACAGAAAACTGTATACTCATTGGTTTGCGGACATGTATAAGAACCCTTGAATTCAACGAAGGGTAGGTAGAAATTACATAAAGGCAGAATTTCCCTTACAGCACACCAACAATACTATATACCGGAAAACACCGGAAAAACACTAAATACCGGAAAGCATACTAAATACCGGAAAATACCGTAAATAGGTAACCCGGAGACTGGCACCCTAAATAGGTAACCCGGAGTCTGGTCCTCTGTGTGCCTGGGTTAAGGTTAGGGTTAGGGTTAAAGTTAGTTTCCGCTTTATAGTATAACCCTTCTCCGGGTTACCTATTTACGGTATTTTCCGGTATTTAGTGTGTTTTCCGGTATTTAGTGTTTTTCCGGTGTTTTCCAGTATTCAGTATAACATGGTGTTTTCCGATAGTTTTCCGGTATATAGTATAGCCCTAGCACATTGCATTGAAAACTGTAGTCTCTAACGCGTTCACAAGCCAATTGTTGACGGATGGACGGACAGGGTGACGAAATTACAGTGTGGGTGTATAAAAATGTGCTGGTTGTTGTTCTTTTGATACCTGAATGGTCGAGTTCGAGTTGTTATCAACAGTTTGTAATACTAGACAATGGTGTAATTTCCCTTCACAGGTAACGACGACTAACACAGGTGGCGTAGAATTTAAACACATTATATCACAGGCATCTATACCATAATTATCATCTGCTGGGGGATACATAATCAATGGCCCCTGAACCGGTAGATTTAATTCACTGTAACACAAATAAAGCAACATAAATAATCAAAATGAATCAAACAAATCAGTATTCCTTTTGCAACGGGGGAGGGGCGGGGGGGATCATGGTGGCTAGCCTGGAGGTTGGGTGTTTGATCGCTACATTGGCCGAGAAAGTTCATCCTGATTTTCCGGGGTGGTTCCCCCTTGTCGGTGTTGCAGGACGGAGGGCCTGACAAGGACAACTGTCTAGTCGTTAGGATGGGACGAAAAACCGAGGTCCCGTGTACACATTGGCGTGCACGTAAAAGACCCCTTGACAGTTGGAATTCGATAAAAGATTAGTCCGTAGTGCCGCTGTCCGGGCAAAATTTCCCTCATAGCACACTGTATGGCGTATGCCCGTCTTCATTATCCCAGTTCAGAGCAGAACAGTAGGATGTTAAACCTCATTTCAGGTAGATCTAAATCACTCAAAATAGAGTGAACATTTCTCACCCATTGTACTAAACCGTTATCAATGACCATAAATAATTACTATCTCTTGACTGTTTTAAGAAGCAGTTAGAAATGAAATGGGGTTTAACATCCTACTATTCTGCACTGACTGGGCTACTGAAGACAGGTTAAAGTCATACAGCGTGTTAGGAGGAGAATTTTGCCCGGACAGCGGCACTATGTCCTACTCATATTCCAAATTCCATCTGTCAAGGATATTTTTTACGTTTTACGTGCATGCCAAACTGTTTTTCGTGCCATCCAAATGACTAGACGCTGTCCTTGCCAGACCCATCCCCCTGCATCTGTGACTTACAGAAACTGCGCTGGTAAATTCCAGGGAATTTTTTCGACAAACACCTCTGACCTTGTTAGTGAGCCACCACGGTTGAAATTGGATAAAGAGTAGATGCAAATCCTTCTTTATCAGACTAGTTCATTCATTCCTTTTTGGACTGCTTAAAGGAGCATTTGGTAAGTTCTCGCTATAATAGTTAAAAAACAGATAATAAAAACCGAATATGCTGAAAATTTCAATCAAATTGCTCCACTCTGAACCGAGATATTAGGGATTCAATTTTAGGCCAGCCTCAATCGTCATTACTACCGTTAGTACAATAATAAATTAAGTGTTGATTATCCATTTTTACGGTTATTTCATCCATTACAAAGCTTATTCAAATCTACTAAATATTGCAGGCTAATGATGGCATCGTCAGTTGATTATGGTCTGGATAATTTAATAAATGTCTAATTAATCCCTTACATAACATTTAAAGCCTAAAGAAAGACTTGTAATAGACAGATTTAGCTCTTGCATAATGTATGTTTATTAACTGGGTTTGCAATCTAATTGGAGATGTAAATAGGCCACAAGCATTAACTTTGATCAAATATACACAATATAAGAACGCACGATAACTATTTTTATATCTTTATGACAACCTTACCATTCTGTAGATGAATTTTATTACAATATAAGAACTCTCAATAACTATTATTATATCTTTATGATTTGATTTTATTACAATATAAGAACTAATCAATAACTATTATTATATCTTTATGATAACCTTACCGTTCTGTAGATAAATTACAATATAAGAACTCACAATAACTATTATTATATCTTTATGATAACCTTACCGTTCTGTAGATAAATTACAATATAAGAACTCACAATAACTATTATTATATCTTTATGATAACCTTACCATTTGTAGATAAATTACAATATAAGAACTCACAATAACTATTTTTATATCTTTACATGTATGATAACCTTTCTGTAGATAAATTACAATATAAGAACTCACAATAACTATTATTATATCTTTATGATAACCTTACCATTTGTAGATAAATTACAATAACTATTATTATTTTTTTTATGATATCCTTACCTTTCTGTAGATAAATTACAGTATGCTACATAAATATTTCCATTTCCTTTAACAAGATAAACCGGCCAGGCTATAGTGTCGTCTTCTTCAGCTTGTAAACCAAGAACCTTACGTCTCTGTTGTAATTGGAATGGTTCACCGAAATCAAACGCTACGGTCTTCTCTCCGAGCGCAGCACTAAATGATAATTTGTTGGGTGAGATGTTTAAACCAGTATGAATCGTGTCCATGTTAATCACATGGCAAGCTTTGTCAGGGTCGGCTATATCAAATGTGCTGGAAAAAAAAAAATACATAAAAAAATGATCATGAAATCAGTCTGGCCTTTCGTAATAAATTAGAATATGCAAGCGGGGATTTGACTCCATATGATGTTAATGCCACATGTAAAATTAGAAAGAGAGAAAGAGAGAGAGAGGGAGGGAGAGAGAGAGAGAGAAATTAGGTCATTTTGGGACTAACATATGGTTCAATTTTATTTCAATAATTCGCGTGCACATAGGAGTCTTTAGCAGTTGGAGGAAACCAGAGGACCCGGGACTAACATATGGTTCAATTTTATTTCAATAATTTACTTGTGCATAGGGGTCTTTAGCAGTGGGAGGAAACCAGAGAACCCATAGAAAACACATGGGGTTTGACAGGCGACACTACTTCTTGTCACGTACAACCAGGAAATCAAAACCACACCAGTTGACTCAATGACAGACCTTATGATGCAGCACTCACACGCTAAACATTCAACCCCCCAAAATGAGAAAGTACAGAGTATAAAGTGACATTATTCTCTTTTAAAGCTGACAAATTTTTACTACCTGAGCATATTATCAGAAGTAAGCATAACTAGATGGCTATCCGTTTTACTACCAGGATGCCAGGACACCTGTTGAACTTTGACCCCTGCTTGACCAATACAATATCTCTCAGCTACTGATATCACTCTGTAAATAAAGGAAAAAAAATTAAAAACTTTCGCGATTTTGAGTAATTTATTTTCTATGAGAGTATTGTGCCGACCCATACACCATGAGGTCCCGGGAATGATCCTGGTGTTAGCCAAATCTGTCTGTCAGATGACTCTGTGAGTATTGCATTGACCCATTCACCATGTGGTCCCAGGAGCGATCATAGTGTTGGCCAAAACAGTCTGTCAGGTGGCTCTGTCAGTATTGCGGCGACTTATTCATTCGTCAATTTGGGACTTAAAATGTCGGTCAACTAGCTTAGTGTCTGTTCTCAAGTTGAGCTAACTGTAGCCAGGCAGTCTAAGTTTAGTATGCCTGTCTACTTTAGCCTGGTTGGTGGAGAAAAAAAAAGTTAAAAAAAGACGAATTTGTGCTGACAAAATGACAAGTACCAGGCCCCGGTTTCACAAATAAGAAACTATGTGCACACTTTTGTTTTTCTGGATCAAAGATATTTCTAATAAACAGTGATTGAAAGTTGAGTAAATTCTTAACTTAAGTCTGAGAATGCTTTATGAAACCGGGGCCAGAGTTTAATGTCCACTCACAAACAAAAGGGATTGCATCTGAACAAAGCCTGACAATATATGTGACAGGTGCCGGCTTGATTACTAAAATAATTCTATCCTGGAAGTTGTATCAGGAATATCAATGTGAATGTACCACAGTACCAGCAATGAATTCCAGAATTTGTTCCATGCTGATTCTCTCCCTTCTTTTAGTCCAACTTATGGTTCAGGTCAGAGAGAGAGAGAGAGAGAGAGAGAGAGAGAGAGAGAGAGAGAGAGAGAGAAATGGGGTTTAACGTCCACTTGACTTCAGGTGAGAGACCAAAGGGTTTTTTGTTTTGTTATACCTGAACACATTTGGTTCAAGTCCTCTCATAGATATTGTAATACTTGAATAATTATCTAAGCCTGATTTTTTACTGTTCTGTTCCGACTGGGTTAATGGAAAGGGGCAACTGTCAAGGGATCTTTTACGTGCAAGCCAATGTGTACAAGGGACCTGGGTTTTCCATCCCAACCGAACAACTATACGTTGTCCCTCGCCAGTCTTTATTAGCAGAATAGTAGGATGTTAAACCCCATTTCATTTCTTTTCAGCCCACAACTAGGCGTAGATAGAGAGGCCAGTGTTTTGAGCACTTTACAATTGGATATATCGCATCTGATTTACCACAGCCTGACAGCCGCCACTCCTAACAATGGATAACTGGACTTGAAGAATCCTGAAAGTTACTTTCAGCTGACACCAGGACTGAAATCCAGAACATAATAGACAAGGGTCCAGTGCCCTTAAAATGAAATGAAATGAAATGAGAAGGGGTTTAATGTTCTACTGTTCTGCTCCGAACAGTGACCTTAACACTTTAAAGGTAGAAATATTGGGTCTAATTATATTTCAACCAACCTGCATGATATTACATTCTTTCCGCCTTCGTATTCTGCAAATTTTCCCCATCGTCTTGGCAACACCATCACCCGGATTCCATCTGCTCCCCAAATAGCCACATGACTGACTGAAGTGTTGCATATTATGGATTCAACCTCGAATCTGGGAGGTTCTGTGCACAGCAGAGTCTAAAAAATACAGGATAAAACTCAATCAGTTTAGAATTATTTTATCTTCATTTAAATTTCAACGGGCATGGTTTCGATTCCCCGGTTGTACATGTACGTGACAAGGATTAGGGTCGCCTGTTCAGCCTTGTGGGCTTTCTTCAGGTCCTCCGGAGAAATAAAATTTGGAAATAAAATTGAACCATATGTTAGTCCAGAAATGACTTAGTTTGTGGTGAGTGGACGTTAAACGCCATCTCTCTCTCTCTCTCTCTCATATAAATTTAATGGCATCTACATAATAGATCGTCATTTGCTTTTTTCGTACAACATGTGATTTTACACCATTTAATCCAAGCCTCGAATTCTAATCTTTTTAGGGCACTGCCAGTTTGGCCTCGGGTTTTTGGCCAAATTTAGGGGCACCAAGGCCAATGATTGGGGCATCAAGGCCAAAAAAGTTTTCAGCAGCAGCGCACCGAGGCAAAAATGTGTTTTTCTTTATAACTGACTTAATCAAGGATCAGTATGTGGTGTACTAAAGGACTCTGACATTACAACGTTTGTATTAAAGTGCAAAACAGGGTTATTAATCCAATTTGAAACAAACGGGACAGGGAATAGGGTAATTGCAAGCTTCCATTCCATTCCCTTTGATAAAAACAGACTTCTCAACAAAAATAATTCTTGGTAACTTGTTGTTGAGAATCTTGTATAATTATAATATACAAAAATAACGACAAACAGTGCACCGTTCAGAAAAATTTTCATATCTAATTCACATACTGACGTGGAAGTTCACGTCAATAATATTCCCCAATAAATCACCAAAAATAAATGGGGGGGGGGAACTAAAAAATATGATGTGTAGTAAGACATTGTTTAAATTGCTGGTGTACTTTAATAAGGCCGTGTTGAATTGATTGATTCCTTGTTTCTCCTGCCACCACTCTGGCAATCATGTGCAGTAGTGCGGTAAACACAACACAAAGTGGGTTTCAAAACACAAAGTGGTCTGGCATAATACCTATATAGTCTGAGCTAGGGTTGTGTACCATTTTTAATAATATTATAAATAACCTAGTTATATTATTGGTTAGAATAATATTTAATTGAATAAATTTAATAACAAACTAAAATTTGGTAACAAGTGGCTTCTTTGTTTAACTTTTTAAAAAATGAAATAACCATATTTTAATATAAATTTTCTGTATTCTTATGTTACAATACAATGGAAACATTCCAGTTAGACGAAATTTGATTCGCTTGTTGAGTTATAGATGATTTCGACAATAACATCGAACGTGAAAGTGCTGGGAATACCCACCAAAGTCGAGTCGAGATAAGATATTCGCGTACCGGTCGGCCTAATTTATTGATGTTCAAGGAAATAAATAGTGGTCCCGTTCATTCGTTAAACTCCAGAAACGAACGAACGGGACCACTTCTTTCCTTGAACATCAATAAATTAGGCCGACCGGTACGCGAATTTACCTATGTCCCTGCATAGCTCACCATTTTGTAAGGCGTGCGTTATTTATTACACAAGATATGATTGGGTAATACTTGAATAATAATGACAGGTGTTATAATTTTAGCCAATGAAAATATTGATTATTCAGGTTCGCGGTTGAATATTAGCGACTGTCTTACAGTTTATAATATGCTTTCTCATTAGCCGAAATGACTGCTACACGCGCCATTTTGCGGAATTCATCCAATCAAATACAGTGTAACTTATTCCATAGTATGCGGGCCCCTACATGTGTATTATCAACCGGATCCATTCACTTGATTTGATATTTGTTGATTCGGTGCTATGCTTATTTTCTGTCTTGTCCGCAGGTTTATCTTGTAGATTTTTGTTTTGCGTGTAGTGCGAATGCGCACGCGTTTCGACATACGTCTTCATATTCGGCCAACCTCGGCTTATTCTGGTTCCCTTACACTATTATGAATCGGAGGCCCCCGCGGTTGGCCGAATGCAGTTCTCCGAGACTATTCACGCGGCGATATTGTCGAACTTTCTGAACACGTTTAATTACTCGAAAATCGAGACGAGCATACTGGTATACATTGTTAATTAGTATGGTGATGTGAATGGGGGCAAAAACGATATGTAATTGGCCAGATCTGTGGCTCAGGTAGACGTTTTATTTACTGGATCAGAAAGGGGCATCCCTGCTTAGATGTCCGGCAACGTGGCCGTGGACAAAGTGAAGATTTTGAGGGCACGGCGGCCAATTGAAAGGGCAGCCTCGGCAATGGCCGCGGTGGCCGCCGTTAATTTCGAGGCCTGTTAATCCACGATAAAATGTACACAAATTGATTATTATACAGACATATTAAGAAAACAAAATCATTTATAATTTTTCTTAAAAACAAGAAGAATTCGGGGGTTTGTTCGCTGGGTGTAATGTCTGCTTCTACCAAAGGTGATATCATCGACAAGCGAAGAATTTACATGTTCATCCAGTCAATAAACAATTAATCATATAGATTGTTAAGCCTACGATATGAACATTGGGTCATTCATTAAATCAGCTAATAAGCAATTTTTCTGAGATGTCACAGAAGGTGTTAATTAGTGTAATTAAAATTGTGTTAATTAGGTGAGATATGTACGGTCTTGATAATCAGTAGTTAACAGCACTTACAATACAGAATACAACGTTTAATACACAAGTGAACAGGTATGGTTATTAAGTAGACAGAGCAAATAAGTGCTATTTGCACAAAAATGTACAAATAACAGTAAAGACAAATTTTGAAAAGTAATTATGAATTTTTAAAGAAATTTTAACTGTAAGCCCTTTGGGGCGGCAAATGTTTTTCATAAATAATACTGTTTTCGTAAGCCTAGGCTTTATAATAAAACTGATATTGTTCCTAATTAGTGATTAGCCTACTGATCTTCAACGGCAGCCAAACAGTATACAATGTCAATGTATTTTTTTTTTTTTTTTTTTAACTAAAAAACAATAACAATGGATTTGTTGACAAGCTTTTCTTCACCTTACATAAAAAAATTGATACTTATATAGACACATTCGTAGCTAAAACAAATGTCAACACATAACCCAGATATGACAAGGATGGGATAGTTGTGTAGTGACAGAAATAATTGTTGCTTGATGATACCTGGTGTCGGTAAGTTTCGCTTTTTACGTCTGCGACATTCAGCAATGTTTTGAGGTGAAAGTATATCAGATGCGTCGCAGAGGCATCCCAGACATATATATCTCCATCAATTACAGCGAAAAGCTGCTTGGCATCGCTGGCTAGTTTAAACCGTGACTCTTTAACGTTATTTTCCCTTAATTGTTTGCAAAATTGATGATTATTCAACCGAGAGCGCCAACCACTGTAGGCTGCCATATTGATTCAATATCCTCCATCCACGCTTCGTTCATGTCGACTCATTTCTGTCTTGTGCTTGCTGTTATCAAGGTGTCATGCACCATAGTTAGCCTACTGAGTGTTTAGATGGAATAAAATATCTAACATCATTGATGTGAAGTGAATATGCTCAAACCACTCTAGGATATAATTGTTTTGAAGCAAGGATTTTTGGGTTGGAGAGTAAATTCGATCTCGACCAGTCATGTGATCAATCGATCGAGTCTATAATCCCGTTCAAGATGGCTGCGAATGTGCAGTCGATGTGTCAGTTTTGGAAGACCTTCGATTTACAAGACTTACAGGTAGGGTTTATTGTTAATTTAGCTTTTGCAAAAAATTAGACTTGTATTCGGAATGTTGTCAGTTTGATGTCAGCTTTCTAAGCGGCATGACGAAGTCGTGGGACCTTTAAATAACGGTGATCGTATTGATAAAATATCAGCAATAATCAATATGGCCGATCGCGTATTGGACTCTTTGTTCTAGTTTACGGCAGCATCCCAACTAATGATGCAGAAAGGAGTCAACTTGTATATCAAGTAAGTTTATTGTTTCTTCACTTTCGTTACTTTTGCGGCACGGTCCGCAAAGTTTGGAAAGTTCTTCGATGTCACTTTATAGCAGTATAGACAATTGGCCCGATTCTCAATTTTGGGAACAGAACATAGTAATTCTACACCGCGAGTCGGCCGCCAAGCAAATTATCGCTCTTCGCATTTTGCAGCTGTATCGTTTGTAGTGATGTCATGGTTAGGGTTTCGTTTTTCTGCTCAGATTCTCAAATCGGATTGTAAACATTGTGTGATTTGTTTGTAAATAAGATGAGCGTGTGGCGTGGAATTGTTGATGTTCCAGGGATTAGCTCTGGAGAGAAAGTTTTCTTTTTCATTTGTAGGCACAGGTTTTCCGTGTATATTCACCCATGCTGTACCATTTAAATTTGACACTTCACACAATAAGGTTTACTGATAAGATTGTAGACAAATCTTTCTTTAGGCTAAACACTGATAATTGATCATGGTTAGACATTAGCCCCGTATGGCTTCACTTGATTTGGTTAACTCGAAAATTTAGCCCAAGACCTAAAATCAGCATTACTGTGGCTCTTACTCATATCCTCAGTCAAAGATCATTTTATGGAAAATGTGGTACAAATATAGAATTGTGGTGTGATTTGTTGATTTAGTTATTTTTGGCAATTTGACAGCAGTAGATAATGTGAATTTAACCCGTAATATCATGACTCAGAGGGACATGAAATATGCATTAGATTTAGACGTTCGTTTTAAATGAAAGTTTATCAATTGTTGTTTTTTTTTTTTTTTACTTTCTTGTGCATGACTTTTTAATTAAAAGAAGAAATGTTAGTTTTTACATGTACACATGTTTCTAAGATGTATTGTCTTTATTTTTGAAATACAATTATGTTATCAAATGACATTTTTATATTTTTTTTCTTCCTCACAACTTCAAAGGAAATGAAATATAAAAGCAAGGCGAAAGTTGAATGGCAAATTTAAACAAATTGTTCTTTCAGACATCACACCCCAAATTTTAATTTTAAAAAAAAAGAATAGATTAGCATTTTAAAAGATATGATAGCAAACAAAGAATCTTTGTACATTCATGTGATTGATTAATTGAAATTCCAGGAAGATCTTCGAGCTGGTACAGAGCGATTAAAATTCTTGCAAATGTTTGCGTAATCATGTATATTACATGATACTATTTAGTTTGTGGGCATAAAGGAGCAATTTTCCGATAAAGTTTGTTTTGACAGATTATATTGAGTCATTTGTCGTTCTTTCTTATTTCTAATACAGATTTTATTTAATCTATACACCGGCCATGATCTTCGTACAAACTATTGATATAGAATTTACTTTAGATGGAACAAAGATATTGATCTATGTGGCAAGTTAAAAGAGTACAACTTTACAAGAGGAATTTTTACTTTCGTTTACTGTCTTCGTAACGTTTCTTTTCATCGATTTATCCCATCATTTTTAGAATTATTAAGTAAAAAAAATTGACTGAACTTATCGATTCCCAAAGCACATCTTCCCCTTTTTTGCATTGATAGCCTTTCTTGGCTCGATTAGCCTATTGATTGCCTAACACAGATTTACAGTTAATAAAGGTATGTAAAAGCGAGGTTGTATGGTATTTGTTAATACACGGAGTAACTAATGTACTTCTATTGTGCTATATTCCGGTAACAGGAATCCGATTGATGTAGATTCGTGTATATTGATTTGGGAAGACAATGGTGTAACATTGAGGCATCTCCAATCATATTGTTCATAGCGGCGACACTTTATGTTTTCGGCTACATTGAAAGTTAATTTTCCTATTTTTGTATTGATTGATTAACGGTGTGAATACACACTTTAGCACAAAGAAAGGAAAGAGGGGATGTTTTCTAATACACACAGCCAAGTTTTTCTCCGATCGTCTATGATGGGTTATAGACATTAAGGCTGTGAGAAAAATCAATATTTTGTTTTTGTGACAATGGCATTATTGATTTATCCCTTCTTTTCAAATGTTTCATCCTTCTCTTAATCAGAGCTGCGACTGATAGGGCTACAATTGAGTTACAATTCATTGATTTATGTTGGCATTGATTGGAGGCCCCCCTCCTTTCCCGTTGATAATGGATGTATTTTTCTTGGAGAGTATTGGTGGCATATAGCCCCGTCTTCTATTGATTTTTTCAGTCAATACTGGGCGTGGTATCGATCATTTGATATGCCCTGAAACAAATGACTCGTATTTTCTTTTTCGAAAATTAAAAGATTTTTATCATCAGTACATTAGATGAAGTCAATAAATGTGGGGATTGACAAGATGGCCGTGATTGTGTATCGGAGTGAATATCAGTCCGCTAAAAGAATTTATTGATTTTATTGAAGAATTTGTAAGAGGTTAGATTCTTGCTGACCAATTGATTCATTTGTGGGTTTCATTTGTTGAAACTGACACAAAATCCATCAGGAAATCAGCCAAAAGTTTGAATAACGCGCAACTCAACATTGCAACAATTTCAGATGTTTGAAAGGTTTCCGAAATGGGAAAGATTTGATATTGATTACCGATACTACAAACAGGATCATACATACTAAATGGCGGAAAGAAAAAATAACATGTTATGAAAGAATTTGAGCAATTAGGTGAAGCTCTTAACAGATGGATATCTGTGAGAACTTTGACACATGAAACAATTTTTTCCGTTAGAGATTTTCCCCATAAATTGATATTACTCAAAATGTAAATCCTTGAAATTTTGCCGACCATCTTATGATGCTTATAGACTTATATCACATTGTTCATCCATAAATGGTCATCCCAGATGTTGTGTTATGATCAACTTTGTATATCACATTGTACATTCATAAATGATCATCCCAGATGTTATGTTGTTATGATCAACTTTTGTTTAAACTGTGCATGTTGTCCTTGGTGGATGCAATGATGCAATAGAATCTTATTAAAGTTATTTTGAAATTTAATTTTAAGTGCATGTACATACACTAAACTTCCATTTAAAAGTGTCTCTAAACAAAACAATAATGTTTGAGCCATTTGCCACTATTAATACATCACTTAAAAAAAGAATCCTTGAAATTTAATATTAAATGCATGTATTGGGTTTATTATTTTAATAAAAATCAATGTTTGAACATTTTAGCTTGGTCATAAAATGTTTGCAATTAATTCAAAAACAATTTGTTGATTTTTCTTAGTGTCTTATTTTATTTGTAATATTGTAATGTTCACTACTGTATGACAACACAAGAGTATATAGGCTACGAAAACAAGAATAAATATACTCATAAATATGACTTGCTTTGATCGAATATTCACTGAGCAATTGACTAAAAAATGTTGAAAAAAAAGAAAAAAATAAGTACTGAAATTAATTGTACAAATGTACATACATGTACTCTAGCCATTTGATATCAAAGCGGATTTAATACACTCATTTATATACAGGAATATCAGACATTGGTAATCATTCGGATCAATAACATTTCATCAAGGGAATCACACACTAGCTCGATCTGACAACTTTTGGCCATTGATTTATCGATGATGACTTGTATTGGCGACTCAAGTCCGAGTGACTGACTCATTGGTCGTTCCCAGAGGATACCCCTGGAACAGGTCTGGCAGCCTCCAATAATATATTGATGAACCCAGGAAGAAAATCCATAAAACGCTAATCTTATAATGGCTTTTGTAGCATCCATTGAAAAGCAAGTTTCCTCATAATATCACAGCTCTTGTCAGTCATCTTGTGATTAATAACTTCCCAATAAAGACTTTTACAAAAAAAAGTCGTCACACACTGAGGTGATGTCATTTCAGAATTAATGGATAAATCAGTTCAGATTAAAAATATTGTTTGTATTTGATTTTTTTTCTCCTCCTTTCAAATACATAATGTTTAAGATTTGAATAACAAATCAGACCTCTCTGTCTACTTAAGGCTTTCAGTTGTTGGAAATATCTCTATTATTAAGACTCCATTATTAATCTGGGGATTTAATAGATAGTTTAGTATTTGTACAAAAGGGGTTGTTTTTTGCGCAGATTTACCCAACTGAATTATTAGTCCCGATACCTCGTTTATTTCAATCAATGCCAACCCGAGCTTGCTGTCATTTGAGAGCTGACCTAAAGAATCTGGCGACAACTTTCCTTCACTGATTCGGGATCAGACATACGATTATCGCTGATTTTATCCCGATATTATCAATTCAATGGATGCCAGTAGTTATTTGATATATTGTACGCTTCAGTTGTCGTCAATAGAGGTATCTTATTCTCCTAAACACTTTATATGCTTAAATACGTCTATTCAAACAGCATCGCTTCTATTTTCAATTTCTTTGTTAAGTTTCTTCTAGGGCAATCAAACCAGGCATCTGCCCAATTTTTTAATCGTAACTTTATAAGGGTTTGAGCCATGATGTAACTGAAAGGTATAAAATAACGATTTATATCATGAAAGTATATGAAGCGAAGAAGGGTTTAACAAAATTGAATATAATCTACCTGAAACTGGAGATCATTTTCAAGCAGACTGGTTTTTTTGGGGGTTGTTTATATTTTGGTGTATCTTTTGGATTATAAAATCTTTCACCTTCGCGTTACTTTATATGCTAATGTAGTGTCAAAAACGTGGATTATGATGAGTTTTTTTTTATTAACTTGTAATATCTTAAATAACTATCATTCATTGTCAGACGATAATGACCCTATGATCTGAATTATATATCTTTCCCAGAAAACTTTT